CCACAAGATGCAAATCAATCACTAAGAATAAGAATCGAAATTCCAGTTTTGTCATCAATATCAAATCGGGGAAAAAACATTTATAGACAAAGATATAAAAGGCAAACACAGTGACATCACCAACAACCTTCACGGTGCAGGGGAGAAGGTTTCACAATTCATCGTTCAAAGAAGTCTTTTTAGAGCAGAAATATAATGGCTATACCACAAGATGCAAATCAATCACCAGGAATAAGAATCGAAAGGCCAGTTTTATTATCAATGCCAAAAGGAAAAGAAAAAAAAACAATTATAGACAAAGATATAAAAGAAAGATTATCACAATGACTAAAGCTCACCGGTCGAAGTTCAAACTGTTAATATTATGTCATATGGGAATAAAATGTTGCTGCCGATACTTGAGTTTGAACAAAGATCGCCAGTGAGCAAAAACTATTATTGCATCAAGTAGACCACGTGAACATAGTTTGAAAATAGATCGCCAGTGAGCAAAAACTATTATTGCATTAAGTAGACCACGTGACTATAGAGGAAACGCATAACTAGAAAGTCGCGTGTTGTGTAACTGATCTCTATTTCTAGTCTATCATCTATTACTATACAGATCACCATTTCTAGTCTGTACTATTTATCTATACTATTCACTATAGTATTTCTCTATACTGATCACTATACAGATCACTATTCGCTATACTATTCACTATACTATTTCTTTATACTGACTATACAGATCACTATTCGCTATACTATTACTATATTATTTCTCTATATGATCACTATACGAATCACTATTTCTCTATACTATTCACTATTCTTATTTCTCTATACTGATCTATACGATACTATCCTCTATATATTCACTATACTATTTCTGTGTACTGATCACTATTACGGATCACTATTCTCTCATACTATTCACTATCTATTTCTCTATCCTGATCACTTCTATTCTCTATACTATTCACTATACTATTTCTCTATACTGATCACTATACGGATTACTATCTATACTATTCACTATACTATTTTCTATACTATCACTAAACGGATCACTATTTCTATACTATTATCTATATTTCTATACTGATCACTATACGGATCACTATTCTCTATACTATTCACTATACTATTTCTCTATACTGATCACTATACGGATTACCATCCTTATACTATTCTATACTATTTTATACTGATCACTATACGGATCACTATTTCTCTATACTATTCACTATACTATTTCTCTATATTGATAACTATTTCTCTATTACTATACTATTTACTATACTATTTCTCTGTACCCTATCACTATACGGATTCTCTATACTATTTCTCTATACTGATCACTATACGGATTATTCTCTATGCTATTCACTATACTGTTTTATACTGATCACTATACGGATTACCACTATTCTCTATACTTTATCATTACGGATCACTATTCTCTATATATTCACTATACTATTTTCTTATACTGATCACTATACGGATCACTATTCTATTTTTATATACTATTCTATACTGATCACTATACGGATCACTATTCTCTATACTATTCACTATACTATTTCTCTATACTGATCACTATACGGATTACCATCCTCTATACTATTCACTATACTATTTCTCTATACTGATCACTATACGGATCACTATTCTCTATACTATTCACTATACTATTTCTCTATACTGATCACTATACGAATCACTATTCTCTATACTATTCACTATACTATTTCTCTGTACTGATCACTATACGGATTACCATCCTCTATACTATTTCTCTATACTGATCACTATAAGGATCACTATTCTCTACACTATTCACTATACTGTTTTTCTATACTGATCACTATACGGATTACCATCCTCTATACTATTTCATACTGATCAATACTCACTATTCTTTTATTCACTATATACTGATCTGATCACTATACGGATTACCATCTCTATATATCACTATACTATTTCTCTATTCTGATCACTATACTATTTCTATATACTATTTTTCTCTATACTGATCACTATACGGATTACTTATTCACTATACTATTTCTCTAGTTTGATATTTCATCTCTAAATTGACTATACTGATCACTATACTATACGGATCACTATTCTCTATACTATTACTATACTATTTTCTCTATATCACTATACGAATCACTATTTCTCTATACTATTACCATCTGTACTCTATACTATTACCATCCTCTATACTATTTTCTATACTGATCACTATACGGATCACTATTCTATGCTATTCTCCACTATACTATTTCTCTATACTGATCACTATACAGATCATTATTCGGTGATTACTTATCGAGTGAGTATTATCGAGCAACTACTATTAGCGCGAGTGTTATTTGAAGGCGTCTGACACCAGTATTGTTCAACGGCGTTACTATAAGTGTATCTGCAATTACAAAGTCTCTACTACAACGAGCATTACGAAAGTGACAATGAGTATTCGTTGACATTACGAAAGTGGCAACGAGTTTTCGTTGACATTACAAAATATTACAAAAAAAAAGAAAACTTCTTGTTTTGTTGGATTACACTCGGTAGAAAATTTAGTTGTTTTTTTTTTAATCATTTCACCGCAAGTAAGACGATAAAGCCACTAAGACGGAAAGAGCAACCGAGAATGAAAGAAACGTTATTGATGAGAGATGACAATAAAAGAACAGGATTCAAGGAATCAGCTGACGACGATTGACGTTGCATTTGAATTATTGAAGATCGTAGCTAGCTGGAAAGAAAGAAATCGAAAGGTAGTTCCACAGGAGAGAAGTGCGAGAGAAGAAACCTTTAGAATAGAACTTACGGTTACGTCTAGCCATTTCAACAGTAAAACGATGAGACCTAGCTGCCAATCTAGTACTGCGCTTAAATTCGTGAAGTCGAGATACCAACGACGAGAGCTCATCAGAACGATTGCTATGAATGAAAATATCTGCGGTAAAGTCACCGAGAAGAGATGGTTACGGCGATGGGAAAATGACTGAAGCTGAGATGCCAGGTCGAGGCCGATAACGTTGCAGATTCTTCTTTTGATTTTGCCCACACTCTTTTGATACATAGCAAAGCATCAGACCAGATGGGACAACGCAACCTTACCTTTTTACAGAGATCCTGGGAGCTTGATTTGAAAAGGTCAGATTTCGGATCGAATAAGCTTGCAGAAAATGAAAGGTTTCCAACGGGCACTTGCATGTTCACAGTTAGTTCCCCTGCAAAACAATATTATGGTGTGTTAGCGCAATCAACCAATTCGATCTTAATTTTAATTTAATTTTTTGACGTAATAATAGGAAACAGTTGAAAACAACCAATCACAATCGGAGCTCAAACCTATTATATTTGATGCGAGGCATCGCCACTCTATTTTACATATCAGATTAATAGTGGGAATGAGCACGTCATTGAATGTAATAGATTCGACTGGAATTCGAACTTGGCTCTCTGATTCCTTAATCCGAGCAGCTATTAATTACTCCACCGTGTCCTATTGGGAAAGGTATGAATCATCTTCTTCTCCCAGCTATGGGTAAATAGCATGACAGACTGGGTTCTAAAGCCATGGGTGGCAACCGATCAAGGAGTAGGAAAATCTGAATTCAAAAATCTGCCTGGAGGCAAAACTTGATGAGCAGCTAGGGGCTCTGGAGCCGTGCAAGGCAACCTATATTGGAGAACGTCATTCCAAAATATAACCTTGCAATATATATATATATATATATATATATATATATATATATATATATATATATAATAATTATTATAAATTAATTGATTTAAAATATGTTTTTTTTCGCTACACAGTTCTAACTATGTTTCAAAAATGGAAGCTAAATGCCCCGAATTTAATTTTGTAATTAAATCAAAGACATTAGTTCCATTTCATCCTCAAGCGAATTTTGGAGTAACTTTTAAAATTAATGGGTTTTAAAGACATAGCTAAAATCATAATTCACGTTTCCAAGGTTACAGATAAATCCAGTTTACTAAACAAGGGGTGTCTGGGTGTTCAATATGTCTATATTTTATTGTATCAGTTCTTACTGTTTTTCTTTTATATATATATATATATATATATATATATATATATATATATATATATATATATATGTGTGTGTGTGTGTGTGTGTGTGTGTGTGTGTGTATATTATTTATTTAAAATATGATTCCAACGCTACATAAGAGTTCTCATGTTTATGTAGCGTGTTGGAATCATATTTTTAAATAAATAATTATATTATGGTCTACTTTTGTATCGAGCACTATTTTTTAAAAATAATAGCAAAAATACTAAAGAACTTTGGATTATTTACCTAACGAGTTCTTTCCTATTTTCTATATATTTTACACACACACACACACACACACACACACACACACACACACACACACACACACACACACATATATATATATATATATGATAATGGATCTAATTCGAACACAGCTCTCCGATTCATCAATCTATCCATTACTACACTGTGCTAATACCCTTGGGAAAGGTATGAATCCTTTTCTTCTCCACACCAGCTATAGGTAAATAACACGACAAACTGGGTTCTATAGCCTTGGGTGGCAACTGGTCTAGGAGATGAAAAACTCTGAATTCAAAATTAGCATGGTGGCAAAACTTGATGTGTAGATAGGGGCTCTGGATCCTTGTAAGGCAACCTATCTAGGGGAAGGTCACTCCGAAATATAACCTGAATCCTTGCACGTCACTTATCTTGTGGCAACCTTTGGACCAGAATGCAAATGGTAGGCATTGGTCAAGAGAGTTGGACTGGGAAGGAACAAACTTTTCTCACTTAAATAAATTTCAGGTGCAGATCATTCTACGACACTAGATGAATTCTTCGACTCTCACGAAATAAAGGACTCATCGGTAATGTTTCGATAGAATAATCATGAGTTGGTTCACAACGCGAGAAGCCATGAATAGTGGGTAATCGGATACCAAAATAGGAAAAAGCTTACGTCCATATCATGTTGAAACACCGGTTCTCATACGATCACCGAAGTTAAGCAACGTCGATCCTGGTTAGTACCTAAATGATGGATGACAGCTTGGGGATACAAGGTGTTGTAATCTTGGTATGCGTTTGGTGTAAAAGGTAATTTGTTAATCTGAGAGCCGAGTTCTAATTCCAGTTATATTCACTTACTTCCGGTTCATCAGCTTCTTCGCTTTTCTATATATATTCCAGCGTTTGGAATCGAGAATAAAACAACATTTATCCCCCAGGATTTTGAATCTGGGTGCCAGGAAGAGCCAACTAACCAATACTTCTGGCTCTGCTATTGCTGAGCATGTAATAAATAGTAGGAAATGTGTGCTTAATTTTAGTGCGGACCGTTCTTTGATTTTATCTCGGTCCCACTCCACATATCACCTCAAGGTTCTAGAGTCCTTGTATAGCAGATCTCGTGGGCCTTCCCTTTGTAAACAGAGGGAATGCTTACTGGGTCTGAATGTTATTAGACTCTAGTTTCTTGAAATTCATTTTTTTCCATTCCATCCCATTCGTTAATTTAATTTACACGCTTTTCTAAATTTTCTTTTCCATAAAAATAAACTTGATAAGTCCTGAGACGAAATTGGTCTTTTCCTAGCTATTATTAAATTCTGTATCCCCAAAAACTTATATATATATATATATATATATATATATATATATAGATAGATAGATAGATAGATAGATAGATATATATATAGATAGATAGATAGATAGATGTGCGTGTATGTGTACATGTATTAAGAGCAAATGTACATTTTTTCCTCATAGGTGACGAAAAATGTATATTTATTATTAATATAAATTTATATATATGTAAATTATGGGTCGGTTGTTATACATCGTGATCTGTATTATTGATACTTGAACTCAATGTGAAACTTTTCATATATATATATATATATATATATATATATATATATATATATGTACGTTTCATTAAATGATATAGACAAGTGTTGTCTATTTTATGTAAATTCTTTTCATAATGTCTGATAAGTTTAATAACATTATCATTAAACGAAGAAAGAAAATCACAATATTGATCCATATTTTTTAATCCTATCTAAGATGGCAATTACAGTACAATATATTAAGCAATACACGATCAAGAATGTGATGATAGTCTGTTTCTGTTTATCGTCACGTTCATGTCCGTGTATTGCTTAATATATTGTACTGTAATTGCCATCTTTGATAATGGTTTTATGTAAGCCGATTTTTAGATTGGATTAAAAATATGTATTAAATAATTGTTTTTTTCTTCGTTTAATGATATATATATTTATATAAATATATATATATATATATATATATATATATATATATATATATATATATATATATAATATATCTAACATTAACTTTTCGTTGTAAAAATTTCATGTTCACCGAAAATTTTGGGGTAAATTAAAAAATTGAGTAAGGAAAATATCAACATCGAAGACAATCTTCAGGGTGTTAAGTTGTCTCTGAGTCTGAGTCTGTATATGTGTTTCTGGTAATTTTTTATATATATATATATATATATATATATATATATATATATATATATATATATATATATATATATATATATGAAGAAATATAGTCTTAAGATCTGATATATTTATGGGATAAAGTGTTCAACATCAGAGATAGCGTGTGTAAATATAAATCAAAATATAAATAACACTTAGAGGCGACAGTCTGTTTTCTGCTAGATGCAATCGTCAGGCCACTCGTGCCACTCGTGGCCTGACGATTGCGTGGACATGAAACAGACTGTATTTTTTAAGTTGACTTTGAAATTATTTATATATTATATATATATATATATATATATATATATATATATATAAATTGCATATAAGAGAAATAGCTATATGTATGGGGCATTTCTGATTTCTCTTATGTTTAATTTATTCATAATTTTTTTGTAATAAATTTTTGAGCTCTCTTTGTATTTAAGTTTTAATTATTATTAGGATCCACTTGGATTATTTAAATTGATTTGTACATTTATATATATATATATATATATATATATATATATATATATATATATTATTTATTTAAAAAAAAATATAATATAAATATGTTATAAAATATATATTTTTTATATATATATCAATAATTATTTATTTAAAAAAATATTATATATATATATAAATATATGTTATAAAATATATATATACAATAATATATATTTTGTTTCAATATACTTGATTTTTTTGTGTCTTATCAAGTGTTTACACAGGTTCGAATCCTGCTAGAGTGCGCATTCTCTTTATGTTTTCTCTAGAGTGCAAGCCAATAAACGAAATAAACACTGTTAAAAAAACAAAACAGGACGTTCTATTCAAATACGGGCATCCAGTAAAAATAACGTTTTAAGTAATAAAAATACGATGTTATATAAACGGAGAATTAAAAAAAAAAGTTTTCTTACCGAAGTTATCACTGGGGTCCGACGGAGATTTTTCAACGTGATGCCCCAGGAAGAATGGTTCCAACCTAATGGTTCTCTTCGGCCATTGCAGCAAGAAGTTGCCAAGATGAAGAATCTTCTGCCGTTGTCCGTTGGTCTTCCAGCGACCGGACATTTCAAATACGTTTTCAATTTTCTCTTTTAGTTTTTTGCTCGGTAATTCACGAAGTATTAGTTGGAAGCTTACGGTGGGAGGATTGTGGCTGGAAGAGTAACGCAAAATAAAAATATAACAGCCTCGTCCACTGCAGGACTTTATTTTTTAGTCATTTCACCCTAAGCAAGGCGGTTATGCCACTAGTACGTAGGAGGTTGCAAAGAGTGAAAGTGAAAGAGAAAACTGAGAATAAGAAGGATTGAGGAAAGGACAAAAGATGAACCCAGTTCAAGAAGACATAAGATGGCGGTTGAAGCTGTATTTAAACTTTTGAAGATTGTAGCTATCAGGGAAGCAAGTAAACGGAAGAGAGTTTCATAGAGGAGAAGAGTGAGAAAACAAACTGTTGGAGTGGAAGTGGCAGTTATATTTAGCTATTTCAACAGTAAACGGGTGGGACCTAGTTGCTGTTACAGTTTTTTTTGTATATATGTACGTAACTAGTGAGCGAGTCAAAATGACTTAACTCCCTTTATAGTCTACCAATAGATGGTTAACCAATCAGAAGACGCAGAACATTCTATCCGTCGTGTATAAAGGCGGCCATTTTTGTTTACCCTACCCAATGACCAGTGCCAAGCGAAGATGACAGAAGGAAATACTACGCTCTGCTACTTTGCTACGATTTCCACTGCTAACCTGAACTACGCTTTCCTACTGTCTCCGAAATATTCACCGCCAACCTCTGGATTCTATACTCGAGGACGACCGTCAAAATGTCTAACAGTTGCCAATCCAGTGACATTCTTAAATTCACATGACAACAGGGAAAAGCTCGTCAAAGCAGTTGCCATGAAAATAAGTGTAGAAAAGACAGAGGGAAGCCACGTCACGTCGGTGCGAAAGTGACTGAAGGCAAGATGCTTGGTCAGGATCGATTACATTACAGACCGTTCATTCATTTTTATTTCTTTTATTTGTATCTCAAATTCTTAGATCGTTATTCTACTTCCGTAAACACTCGTCAGAACTTGGATTTTACACGTATTCTCCTTCGAACACTTTATCCATGCACCGAAATTAAGCATAGTCGAGCCTGGTCTATATATGTAGAAATGACAGATGGAAGTCTAGACACGAATGTTTCCCGTGCTTGATTCAAAAATCGTACGACTCATACAGCAATCGCTATCACTTGACTTAAAATATTTTTGCCCTTCCTTGCCTTTAAAGGACTGCCCTTTGCCGTGCTGATGTTGCTACATGCCTTACTTCTTGCCTATCTCACACTGCGAATTTTTTTAAGCTCTATACTAAACATTAAATCTGTTACGAAAAAAGAACTAAACAAAATGAACACAAAACGATCAGCTTTAAAAAAAGGACTCGTAACTGGAAAAACCGAATGAAAAAAGAATGTTAACAACAAATACTTTTTCACACCCAACACAGTTCTGCGGAATCAGAATCAACGTTGAGTTTAAGCAAGCGAATGAGCCAATTGGAGTAAAGTGTCATGCAGATTTAAATTTTTCCCACTTGTGACGAATGCAGCTATCGATTTTTTTTGCATCTTCTTGCCTATTCGTGACAGCCAGCTATAGGCTCTTACTGTGGCCAGTAGAAAATGGCCGCAAACCGCATGAAAACTGCCGTGGAAGCATGAAAAAAATCGATTATTTCCACTATCGATGTAAGTTGGGAAATGCAAGTTTCGGTCTTGGCGTTCCCGCTAACTTGAAGCATGTGCATGTAAATTTTGGTGCAAATCCGTCGAAAATTGCGGCCCTGCATTCGTTACACACACACACACACACACACACACACACACACACACACACACACACACACACACGCACCCTGCCTTTTATAGACAGAGATACCAGCAGGCGTCCCTTGCTCGCTATCGCTTCGCAAAGTAAGATATATTCACCACAAAAATATTAAATGAACATTTCATTCATAAATTGGCTTGTTATAGTTAAGGAAAGTTTTACAAAATAGCCAAATTTTATAATAGAAGGTCTGTACATGAAAACTTTTTCCACTTTGTCATCGTTTTCTCTTAAAATTATTATTCGTTTTCCCATATGAAACGATCCGTGTAGTTAAAATATGAATTAACTCCCTTGTTTAATAATTGAGGTGTTTTTTATTATTATTTTTTTTTATTTAAAATATTGTTTATTAAAATTAAAGCAAACTTTATTGAAACAAAACAAGTTCAGTTGACCATTGATGACAATTCCAGAGATGCCAACTTGTTGAAGGCCAAGTAAAATGCAAATTTTAAACACATTTCTGCACTGTATTAGTCGATATTTCTTAAACAGAATTATTTTTGATATGAAAATCAAAACACTCCTCGGATAAAAGAACAGGAATGAAGGACAGTTATTTAATGAAATAAACTTTTTAAAATCAATATGGAAACTAGTTAAGTGTGGTAGTGCCTAGAAGTAGATAATATATAATATTACAGTTCTTCTGTAGTTTATTACCTGGCTC